CCTCCTCCTCCTCCTCCTCCTCCTCCTCCTCCTCCTCCTCCTCCTCTTCTTCTTCTTCCTCTTCTTCTTCTTCTTCTTCTTCTTCCTCTTCTTCCCCTTCCCCTCCTCCTCCTCCATGTCTTTTTAAAATCAGTTCCAGAGAGTTCAAATAAAAATAACAAAAAGAGAATAATGTCCCATTGCAAACTAATAGAAAGGAAGTGGGGAAGGAGAAGGAGGAGAAGGAAAAAAAAAACTAGAACATCTCTCTCTCCCTCTCCCTCTCTCTCCCTCTCTCTCTGCCCTGAGTCACCTGCCTATTCCAAAGGCCCAATTCTAAGCAACCTTTCAAGACCCATTAAATTCAGTGGGATACCAACCCTTTATAGTAAGTGATTAGACATGGCAGCTCCAGATTCTGGGATATAGAGAGAAGACTTATGACATCATGTCCTCATGTAATACTTGACAGATTCACAGAAGGGACATTGAAGGTCTTCCAGTCCAACTCCCTGTCCAATTATGATCTATGTTATGTTAAACCATGATTCACTTTACCATGACCTTCAGTCGTGGTTTGCTTAATATGAGTTGAATAAGTTTTAATAGATTTGCAGGACCCTAAATAATTGAGAATCCATGACTGTTGCCTCCATGCTAGGCATGGAGCCAAAAATGAAACAACCCACAAACTAGCTCAGTGCAACATATGAACCTGCTTTTTAAAGTGGAAATTTGTGGACAGGAGTACAAAAGAGGTGGATGCCCACTTTTAGCCTTTGACCTAGTTTTCCCTCCTTCTAGAATTCTCAGTATGACTTGAAGGACAGCTCACCAGCTTTACATGCAGGCATTGCTCAACCAACAGCAGCAGCCTACTATTCTTATGACCATTCCTTTGGGCAGTATGACAGGTAAGTGGTTCTGCACTTCGAGCCTGCACAATATCACTGTTCAGGTCCTACTTCACAAGTCTGTGCTTTGGGTCCTTGGTGCTCTCTGAGCTTGGTTGCTTTCTTGCAGACGTTTCACTACCCAGCTAGGTAACATCATCAGGGTTAGAAGGGAGGGAGGTTTGCAGGGAGGAGAAGGAGGAGGAAGAGGGAGAAGAAGAAGAAGGAGAAGGAGAAGAAGAAGAAGAAGGAGAAGGAGAAGGAGAAGGAGAAGGAGAGGGAGAGGGAGAGGGAGAGGGAGAGGAAGGAGGAGGAGGAGGACTACTATCTGTTTTCTTGCAGATGTTTACCCAACTAGGTAACATCATCAATGCTAAAAGGTTTGAAGAGGAGGAGGAGGGGGGGGAGGAGGAAAAGTAAGGGGTCCTTGATACTCTCTGAACTTGGTTGTTTTCTTACAGATGTTTCATTACCCAATGACGTAACATCATCAGTGGTAGAGTTTGCTCTCTGTTTTACACTTGTGGCTTGCCCTGTCAATATTGGTGGGAGCGTTCTTGATCGTTCCTTGATTAGGATGTTAGGAAACTAATACATAAACAGAAAGCAAACCCCTTTCTTTTGTAGGACTTGTATTACTTGGGTCAGTTTCCAGGAGTGGGATACGACAGGGTTAACTACCGGTTCAGGATTTATGAGCTTCCCTGCACACTGGGAGCCACGAGCCTGTAAATCGTCATCAGCACGCTGGGTGCAGAGTAGCAGCCTTTGAAACAGCCCTCTTCTCCTGCTTTTTAAACTACAGCTGTGCCTTGTTTGGCGGCTAAAGTTGAAAAATCAGGAAATAAAGATCAGGTAAGAGCCTGGGCTGGGGGCAAAAACATCAGCAGTCATAGAACCAGTTCTATGTCTGCTGCTCTACCAGTTCTGCAGAGGTAGAAACCCACCCCTGACAGTTTCCTTGTTTCTATGGATAGTCTGTGAAGCTTTGTGGCTTTGGCCTTGGAAGAAGTCATCTCAGCTCATTTTCTTCTACCTGATAGGTATGGAACAGTGGACTTTAGCAACTCATCCAGACGCAAGAATGCCACCCGAGAAACGACCAGCACCCTCAAGGCATGGTTATATGAACATCGAAAAAATCCTTACCCAACTAAGGGTGAGAAGATCATGCTGGCCATCATCACTAAAATGACCCTCACCCAGGTCTCCACCTGGTTCGCCAATGCCCGGCGGCGACTCAAGAAGGAGAATAAGATGACCTGGTCTCCTAAAACTAAAACAGGAGATGAGCAGAGGGAGGGAAGTAAAAGGAACGGGGAAGACTGTGGCAGTGATAATGAAGACCATGGTAAGAATGGAAAGGCAGTATCGTTTTTAGAAATGGGAGATAATCTTTCATTACATAATATAAGAGATGCCTCATCCTAAAGTCCTTTAGGTACAGCCCTTTATACTCTACACTAGCCAAGGAGATGGCTTTGTAAGTTCTAGAGAAGAATGGCTGCGGTCAACAATTTTCCAAGAGCTCTGAAGTTGTGACTTTTCCCACATTCAGATGTCCTTATGTTAATTCATAGTTAAGCAATGTGGAATATCCTAAATTGTGTGTATTTCAACTCCCATCAGGCCTTGCCAGAACAGCCCCTTAAGGATGATGGACTTTGCTGTCCAACATCTGGAAGGCACATGTTCCCAGCCTTGACTTAGAACTCCCATCCTGGGTTATTTTTAAAGAAAATCTCTTATTTCTCTGCTTGCCCTTCACTCTGGTATCTACCTTCAACCCTGAATTGCGGTCACCTTCATATGATTGTAAGCCTTTGTTTTTAAGTATTGTGACTCAGTTTCCCACCTCTATGGGTAAAAACCTATCCTGTCCTCTTGGTGGGATGTTGTACCTGAGCTACATTAGTACTTAGGATAATATGTCAACTTCATTTAGATTATTTTGAGGTAGTTCCCAATAAAACAAATTACTGACATCTCTACATAAAACCAACTTGGCTTGCTCTTAATGAACTCTTTAAGATGACTCTTTTCTGTTCTTTATTCCTTTTATTTCGAACCATAGACCCCAAAATCTGCAAAGAAGAGAAGGAGCTGCAGCTGAGTGATCTGGAAGACTTGGATGAGGAGGAACTAGACATGAAGGTTGGAGATGAGCTGAAGCACCTGCATCAGGATGGTCCCCTAATTGGCAGGGCATTGACTGAGTCTGAGAAGAACAGCTGTACTGGGAGCTCATCTAGTCATTTTCATGCTTTTTCATGCGCCAAGCAACATTCACCAATTATAGGGGACTTTCTTGGCCACAAGGAGAATAACGTAGCAGGAAGTCTTGCAACTCAAGGCCAACTCTATGAAACTATAGAAAAGCCACGCATCTGGTCCCTAGCTCATACAGCAGGAGCCAACATGGTTGTGGGGTCCACCAGCTATCCTACTCAAAGGACAGAGAGTCCCGATTGTTTGGTGCTCAGGGGAAGGTGCTCAGGGACTGATGGACATTGCAGCGAAGCGAGGCCACTGAGCAAACTTGTGAGAACACAACCCATTCATGACAAGGCCTTGGAAGAGCTGCCACCTCCAGCTAAGATCTTTAAGAGTTCAACCTTTAACCTACAGTCCATTGCACTAAATTATGCTTCATACCCTGTGCTAGGGGAGACATGTCAGCACGCAACAGGAACAGAAGGTTGGCCTTTACATCTTGTTTTATTTTCAGACTGTCTTTAAATACAGATGCTTAAACTCAGGAGCACATATGTAGCTATTCTCTGAAGTAGTTATGGGTTTAGCATTCTCTTCTCAATTTTGGCAGCATGAAGGAAATAGGCCATCCTGCTTAGTTGGAAAGTGGGGCTCAAGGATTTAAGCTTTGTAGGTGAACTTTGGAATTGCATAGAGCAAAGGTCTTCAAACTTGGCAAGTTCAAGACTTGTGGACTTCAACTCCCAGAATTCCTAATCTAATATGACTGGAGGAAGAATTCTGGGAGTTGAAGTCCACAAAGCTGTCAAGTTTGAAGATTCCTGGCATAGAGGAATATCATGGGTGAGAAGAAACCTCCCACTTAGGGTCTAATCCAGAAATGTGTTATCTTTACCCACAATTCCAGTGAAATTGGCTAATGTACATGAGTAATGTGATGGCTTGCACGAAGTTAAATCTGACTAAATCTGTTGACAGATGTGGGAAGAACAAGCTTCAGCTTATAATTAGCAAATCAATTATGTCACCTCTTAAATCGGGCAAGCAACTGATGTGCCTTTTATTTATTTTTTTAAAAAAAGATAACAACTTGCTGTTGTTGTAATATTAACAGTAATATTATTGTATCTTGCCCAGAAAAAAAAAAAAAAGTAGCAAAAAATGCTTAAATACTTATTCAGAAATCTTTTGTATATTTATCTAAAAGGCAATGAAACCAAAAACAAATAAGTATTTGGTTTTTTTAAAGTCTTTTAAGACTTTAAAAGAAACCTTGGAGTAATAGGGTATAATTTATTGGAATTAATTCAACATTGTACTGATATCTCTGTTGTTATTTTTATTCTTCCATTGAGTTGTTCCTACCATGACACCATTTTTGAAGTACGTTTTTAAAAATGCACTGTTTATTTATTTATTTTTTGCATTCCATCCTGAATCACCTTGTTTGGCTGGGAAGTCAATCATACTGGTATACGATGGTGGATCTTCGTTGAGAGTCTTGGCCAAAGACTTGGTCTCTGTTTCTAGAGTGATGGAATGACCAAGTCAATATACAGATGCGATCTTCTTGAGGAAATTGTTTAGAGATGCAGTAGGAAGTATATCCAAGAACAAATGTCTATGGTGATGCTCCATCATTCAGGTCATGGTTGTCCTAAAGGTGCTTTTTCAAGAGGCAACTGGACTTTCTTGGTTTTTTTAAAGACATTTCGCTTCTCATCCAACAAGCTCCTTCAACTTTAAGAGCTGAAGAAGCTTCTCAGATGAGAAGCTTTAAAGAAAAACCAGAAAGCCCAGCTGCCTCTTGAAAGAACACCTTTGGGCTATCCAAGAGGAAGTTCATAAAAATAATTACTTATGTTTCATTATGGCTGGTTTTAATAGTAGAATGCAACAAGGGAAATATTCACTCAGACAAAACTGAGATGAGTTGGTTCCAAAGGTCTCATCAGACCTTCACTGCTAGCAGAAAATTGCCTTATAGAGAAATGGATAGAAACTGACCAATCTTCTTTGCCTTGTCTCAAAGCTTCCCTCTGCTTGGAATTATCTGCAAGTAAAAAAATAGGGACCCCTTTGGTGGGAAGGTTCCATGTGACTGGTAGGACTAAATGCTAAAGGCTCATGGAACACTGTTCCCTTCCCACCAAAGGGGTCCCTATTTTTCTAGTTTCGTTTTTTTTTAACATGCTTTCAACCTAGCTTCTGCTAGGTTGGCAGAAGCTGGGACAAGGAACGGGAGCTCACTCCATGACGCAGCTCTAGGGATTCGAACCCTCAAATTGCCGACCTTTCTGATCGACAAGCTCAGCGTCTTAGCCGCTGAGCCACCGCGTCTCTAATTAATCTAATTACTACATATTTGTGTGAATTCGAGGTTCTTCTGTTCAAGGATGGGCTCTGTAAGCCAAAGCGGCTTTGAGCATAGCCTAGGATTTTTTTGTGTGAGCCATTTTCATCCAAAGGTGAAAGAAGTTTTCGTTTCTCTCTTATGACAGGATTTCGGAGAAGCATACGGGCTGCTCAAAGTTCTCTAGACTTGACTGATGTTTGTCTCAGCCAACATAAAGAGAAACTCCGAACAGCTTTCAGGCCAGTGCTGAAGAGGTGAAAAAAGTGAGTCATTATGCTGTTGTGTTGTATGGAGAAATGACTTGTGAAGTACCAGAGGTTGAACCAGTTCCCAACATCCTTGATCACTGTCTGTGTTGGCAGCAACATTTGGAGTCTGAACGAATTCTTCATCCAAGTCTGGAGCATCCAGCATCCCATATGCTGTGGAGCTGTTTTGTTATGAGTTGCTATTTTAATAAAGGGAAATATGTTTGTAATTTGTGCTTTCCCTCTGTCTTTATTTTGGTCAGAAAATGCTATTAGTGGGCTCATTCTCATCCTAAAATTGAGGGTTTGGGGAAGATTTCATGAAATCATGAAAAAAAACAGGAAAGAGAAACCAAGTCAACTTAACCAAGAAAAGAGTACAGGAATCAAAAAGCAAATGACGAGATTCAATCTGTTATTTCTTTCAACAAAATGTTTTTTTCTTTAAAAGAACATTCAAGGTTCTAAAAATGGACATTAGCAAGCGATAGGAACATTTATAACAGTCTAATCCAGTACCCAGGCAAAGTCTACATTTTTTTTTTGTTTAGTCTATTCTTCTGTAGTGGTTTTGTTTAATTCATAAATGACCAGAGAAGCAACTAAAATTTAAGAAGAGACATTTCAGATAATCTAACAGAATGCTTCACATTGTTCCTTGTATTTTAACACGAAAAAACAAAATGAAGCCAAATTTCAACCAACTGGCATTGTCTGTAATTGTCATGCAAAAATTAATGTAGTGGAAGTCATACCAGTAACAACCTGGTATTTGAACATCACATTTGTTCAAAATCCAAATTCAGCTCTGTCTGCCTTCCTATCAATACATTTAAGAAGACCGTCTGCTGTCTACCAGTAGATTGGTCCTGATAGTTTCTTTACTAAATGATCCAGATGGGGGATACTTTATCAGAGACACTTTACCAGGCTTTTACTTTGGCTAATGAGATTCTGAAATTCTCTCTTTCAGGTTATTGAAAGCCACCAGGTTACTTGAAGTTCTCAAGAAGTTATGGAATCATCAGGATTCCAGGGAAGACACCCATTATCTCCAATGTGAATCCTCTCTTTGTTTTTCTCTTTCTCGGTGCTCTTCAGAGCATGAATGACTGTTACAGCTTCTCATGTCAGAGGAAGGGAAGAGATAATCTTATGAAACACAACTTTTACTATCACAAGGCCGATCAGAAAACATACATTGGGACATTTTTGCTATGTTATATGAGCATCTCTCATGCACTAAGTTTGTCATCAAACTACATTAATTGAACTATGACTTTCTGGTAAACTTCTGCCGATGTATTTTGGATTTTGGAGAGACTTTGGCTTCTATTGTAGATCTGTGTTGTTCTCTGTATAATGGAAACTAACAATGTGGTTATTGAATCAACCTCTTTCTTTCTTTTTTCTTCTTTTTCATATCCCAAATATGTACAGGATGTGTGGGAGTTAACATCCTTCCATCAGGTCTTCAGACTTTTTTTGGGGGGGGAGGAATACTTATTTTCCCCCATCTTTAAATTAAGTGTGTTGTGTGTCATGCTTCTTCAAGAAAGTCCTTTTCTAGTTCAACCTGCACATTTGCTTACTATTGCCTTGTACAAAGATATCACAGGAAGTATTTTTTAAAACTCTCGAATTAAAAATCCAACCATCGAATGCTGTCAAAGAAAAATATGAAATTTAAGAGACAGGAAGAGAGAATGTGTGTATGTGTGAGAGAGAAAGTGAGGAGGGAGGAAGGGAGACAAACAGTACTCATTGAGATTCATTACTGTGTCAATACTGATTGAATTTGAGTTTGTTTCTTATATAATATTTTAAAATCCAGTTTTGGGAAATTTCCCTATTGATATATTTTCCTACTATCTGTTCACATGGCTCTATCATATTTATTGTACACTCATAGTTATTGTGTCAGGTAAATCCAGCTTGTATATTGAACTTGCGTCAGAAAACAGGCTTTCTTATTGTGGCTGGGTTCACACATTCTGCTAAGTTAAGTTCCTCTGTTTGTCTCTCTGGCTGTCCCACTGTCCATCCATCTATCTGTCTGCCTTTCTATCTGTCCATCCATCTGTCCATTCTTCTTTTTTCCTCCCTAGCCATGATAGAGACTTCCATAATTTATCCAAAGACTGGAGCAACCCATGGTTAGCCACTCATCACAAATCTGGATTCCACTTAATTGATTTCAATAGTTTGGTCCTCTTTTTGGAGTTTTACATCCCTCTAAACTTTATAACGTTGAGGCCAGAGTTAAAAAAAAGAACATGAGACTGACTCGGATACCATGGACAGCTCCAAAGTCATCAACCTGCTCCAATAAAGGTCTAGACTCTAGAAAAGGTCTAAAGACAAATGGTGGTGAGTAAAGTTGCTCTCAAGTAGATTGGGAATCGTGGCATGACAGTCTCACAACCTTACACTTTCTGGACTGGATCTCTTATTCAACCAGTCTCAGTGCATTCTCTATGGATAACTCTTCCCAATTGGCATGAAAGTTTGTTCTGTGAGTATCTGCTTGGCTAGTTAACAGAGCAACAACATTTCCTTTAAGGCGAGGAAGGGATAAAGTAGGACATTCTTAGTAGGTCATCATCCCAGTTTAGTTAAAAGGGCATTATTGCCTCTGACAAAGTTGAGACAGAAAGGAGTCTATCACTCGGCATTCTTTCTCCTTAATTAAAAGTGTCACCAAGCACTCTTTGGGCAGACAAATAAACAGAGCTTAAACCCAGAGAAGAATGAAGCCTTTGTTCCTGGACTCATTGCAAGCAAGGCCCATAATTTAATCACTGTGCTAATTAAGAGGTCATCTGCAGATCAACCCACAACTAACTTTCCCCCAAGTTCACCGAGGTCAACATTGTGCCCATGTGTCATTTGTGATCAATATTATCCAATGGATCCTGCTTTCATAAATCAGCAGGATGGATCTTGGTTATTGAGTAGAGACTGATACATGGATCAGGAAAGGAGCAGGAGAGGAAAAAGTGGAATAGTGGAAGAAATACCAGGATTGGAGAGGGGTTAAAAGTCTACACCTTCAGGTTAGCGGCATCCAAATATTAAAGGAAGATTCTTAAGTGTGTGTGCATTTGATTTCCACATCCAGGATAATTTATAGCCCTGTGAACGAAGCTTTTCCACAAGACACATTTTGTATGGAGAGAGGTTGAAATGGCTGATCAAACATGGCTGCATTATTTGAAATGGGAATGAGGATATTTTGAGTACTAACCTTTGTACCAGAGTCCTCACTATTTATGGAGATTCTAAGTATATCCAGGTCATGGTGCTTTTTTAAGGTGCTTTTTCAAAAGGCAACTGGACTTTCTTTGTTTTTCCTTGAAGGTGTTTCGCTTCTCGTCCAAGAAGCTTCTTCAGCTCTGAAGGAAGAACTGGAGATGCTTCTTGGGTGAGAAGTGAAATGTCTTCAAGGAAAAACAAGGAAAGTCCAGTTGCCTTTTGAAAAAGCACTTTTCGGACAGAATCCTTGATCCAATTTGCCAAAAGAGAGCTACATGTAATTCAGCAAAAATTAAAAGTGATACACCTGAGGGTGAGTTAATCCAAACAGCCAACCTCCATTCAAGAGTTTCCTTTGTCTTTTATAATATTCTTTGAATGGTCATTAAATAAATTGTAACTCAAGGACTATCTGTAATTGAAATTGGACCCTGACTCCCCGAATAATGTCTGTTTTATAGATTATTTCAATGGTGGCTGTAATTTTTTTTCCATATAGTTGTCAGCTGTTTTGAAAGTGCATCCTGGAACACACGTAGATACATCTACATTTTAATGCATTTACCAGATAAGTAAAACAACAAGCAGAAATATTTATGCTCTGTGGGTTTGCTGAGTGTCTCTTGGACCTTGGCAAAGAAAAGAGACATGATGGACTATCAATCCTCAGTGGCATGGTTTTGATAATGTCTGAAGTTAGAACACAACCATGGCATTGAAAACTTTCTTGAGTTGACAGTGGTACATTTGGAAGTTTATCTACAGGCGTTTGTGAACTGCCCTTCCATTCCAGAACAGAGTAATATTTAAAGAATGATTGTTCATGCAAACACTTCAAGCTAGGGACTGTTCAATGATATTTGTGTACATATATACAAACCCTTCATTCTTAATTTAGGTCTAACTCTATCCAACTTCATACATTGTCATTCAGGTACCTAGACACAATCTATTCATCCTTACGCATCTCCTTTCTGACATCCTTCTTTTGGGAGAGGGCAGGAAATCAAAAGAGAAACAACCCAAGCTGAAGACTGACCTGCAGTACGCAGGCACAGAAATTAAGCCATAGAAAGATAAACATTTTTTTCAAGTCAGATTTAAAGGATTAGTGCTTGTATTAGAGTATTAGCCCCATTCAGAGGCTTTTGGAAGTCAGACCTCTTGATTTTTCCTCCCTCCCATTCTTTCTCAAGAGGTACGTACACCAGGTATACCTTGATATTCAACCACATGAATCCATCATGTCTTTCGTGCCGTGAAATCTAGAAACAAATATCAGTGGGTCCAGCTATTGAAAGCCCAAGATTACCATCAGCTAATGTAATACAAAACACATCAGCAGTTTTGGTCATTGTTGTCCTAAGGATAAAGAGAATGCACACAGGCAGGCTACCTCTCAGGGTTCCAGTTAACACACCTAACACCTCTGTCCATGCAATCCATCAGGTGCCAGTTCATCCCAGATCCCACCTCCTTGCATCTGGTGGAAATGTCCTTGGTTCTCAGAGGAAAGAATTTTATTGTCAGTGTTCCAATGAAACTCCCCATATTCATTCAGCGCTTAGAAACAAACTTCCTCCAAGTATGAATTTATTAGAGTTGTCATACTGGCACATCTGGGAAAACCCGAATCCGAAAGTTCCAGGTTTTCCCTTCCCCAAGAGAAATTCAAAGGCCCACCCCCTGTACCCATCAGTCCATCACATGGCCCAATCAAACGTTGTCCCACTGGAGCCATTCCTCCAGACCCTCCTCTCCAGGTGAAGGGTAACTTGTCCTTGACTTTCTGAGAAAGAATGTTGTTGAGTCTAATCTTCTACTCACTAAGAAATCCCCCCTCCCAAATTCCCAGGCACTAAATGTGGCAGCCTCAAAGCTTTCAAGTAAAATATGGCTTCTAAGGCTGACATTTATTTTGGCTACAGTCCCCCAGCTAATCTCTACCTCCCACCTCCTGTTCCCACAGCTGGACTCATCTCCGTTGTGGCAGCCCAGAAAGTGCCAGGGGAAAAATGGCTTCAGGGTTGACACTATCTTGAAGAAACGTGGACTATGGATCAATGGCTTTGATCTTTTGAGGTTTGATGTCTAGAAGAGGAAACTGAACCTCAGTTATGGAAGCAACTAGAAATGGCACCTCCTACTTACATGTAAACATGGGAAGCCTAAAGGTAAAGGTTCCTATAGCACATATGTGCTAGGTGCTCATCTCCATTACAAAGCCAAAGAGCCAGCACTGTCCAAAAATGTCTCCGTGCTCATATGACCAGCATGACTAAATGCTGAAGGTGCACAGAACGCCGTTACCTTCCCACCAAAGTGGTCCCTATTTTTCTACTTGCATTTTTTACATGCTTTCGAACTGCTAGGTTGGCAGAAGCTGGGACAAGTAACAGGAGCTCACTCCATTACACGGCACTAGAGATTCGAACTGCCGAACGGTCAACTTTTCTGATCGACAAGCTCAGCATCTTACCCAATGAGCCACCGTGTCCCTCCTACTTACACGAGAACATGGGAAGTCTACATACACTTAACTCCCAGCCCACCCAAATCTTTAGCCAACACGCCAACCATTTCCAGTCATTGTTCTTGGTAGAATTCCCAACACTTCTGATGTTCCTTACAAAATTCAAGAAGTATTGATTAAAGGTCACCCTTCACATTACAACCAGTGAGGTCTGGTGAATCAACAACTAAGATGACCAATCAGGGGTCTTTTA